CCTCCGGGTGCTCTGATTTCCCCCACAGTCCAAAGACATGTGGCACAGGTGAATTGGGTAGGCTAAATTGTCTGTAGCGTATGAATGTGTATGGATGTTTCCCAGAGATGGGTTGCAGCTGAAAGGGCATTCGCTCTATAAAACATATGCTGTATAAGTTGGCGATTCATTCCGCTGCAGCGACCCCTAATGAATAAAGGAACTAAGCCGAATGAAAATAAATGAATGAATGAATAAAAATGGTCAAACTGAATTTGACTTGTATTTCCAAAAAAGTGGAGTGTTCATTTAATTACATTTTAAAGAAGAGTTTTGGCTATGTAATAATAACAATAATAATAAAAATAATAATCATAATTTTACTTTTAATTTTTTACAAATAACTAATGAAGTCTGTATAGTGATAACCCCATATAAAGTGAACTATAGGAACATGTTTGCAATTCTGATGTCATGTCAACTTCAAATACAAAAAATTGCAAAAATATTTCCTGTATATAAAAAAAACATCTAACTACAACAGTTTTTTTCAGCATTTTGTTTACAAATAGTTTAAAAGCACATCCCTTATTTGAAACTTATTTTTCTATATTTTATTTTTATATTTCTTTTTAGTGCTGAAGAGTTAATTGCAATAAAGCAAACAAAAAAAGCTATTTTTATGCACATCTTGTCAGGGAATTACAGTTCTGTGATCAGTAGTATATCCTCCAAAGGACAAATGGCACTCTTGTTTTTGCATTTATGTCCAACTGAAGTTTGGAGTGAGTTTGATGTAAAAATGTGTCATTATGCAGAATAATTATCTTCAAATGTAATTATTATGCATTTAAATTGTCTGCAATTATAAATGTGATATTACATAGCCTGTCAGTGGACTACATCTGAGTAGTAAATGCCGCTCCATCTGAAAACACATGTAGAACGCATGAGATTTACTTTAGATTTTAGCCAGCTTTACTGTCCTAAAGTTATACAATTATTTAACAAACATTTAGAGTTACGACATACTCCACAGGGGAACGTTGATTGAAGACTTCAAGTTGACTTAAGATACTTCCAATAAATTTTCAAAAATAATAAAACTAACAACTAATATTCCATGCACACCATTGAATATGGATTCTTTGGCAAAATAAGAAGGTGAAAATAATAACATTTATTTAAAACTGAACTCTGTACCGTTTACAGGGCTTCTGCAGGTTTCACCAAGTCAAATGTAAGACTTTTAAGGCCATGAAGAATTTAAATTTCAGAATTATATAGGTTTAAACACTAAAGATTTTTTAATCACCCAAGCAGAAAAAAAATTACTCACCCCATCAAAAAACAAATTCTAATTAGTCATTTCTTAGCCACGTATTTTAGATAATCAAAACAAGCAGAACTAGTTGTATATGTAACCCCACTGATCCTACAGCACCCAACCTGTTCAGAGCTGGGATCGAACAGGAGACTTTCAGCATGGGAATCAGTTGCAGTTTTTAAATATTTCTCAAATGATGTTTAACAGAGCAAGGAAATTTTCACAGTATGTCTGATAATGTTTTTTTCTTCTAGAGAAAGTCTTATTTGTTTTATTTTGGCTAGAACAAAATCAGTTTTTAATTTTTTAAAAACCATTTTAAGGTCAAAATTATTAGTCCCTTTAAGCGAATTTTTTTTCGATAGTCAACAAAAAAAACCATCATTATACAATACCTTGCCTAATTACCCTAACCTGCATATTAACCGTAGTAACTTACCTAAGCCTTTAAATGTGATTTTAAGCTGTATTGAAGTGTCTTGAAAAATATCTAGTAAAATATTATTTACTGTCATCATGGCAAAGATAAAATAAATCAGTTATTAGAAATTAGTTAATAAAACTATTATGTTTATAAATGTGTTGAAAAAAAATCTTCTCGTCATTACACAGAAAGTAGGGAAAAAAATAAATGGGGGCGCAAATAATTCAGAGGAGTTAATAATTCTGACTTCAACTGTACATAATTCTTTTTCAACATAACTTAAAAAACTATGTATGCACAACAGATTGTTATAATATTAGTTATGAATATACTTTTGCTAAAAGTTTTATTGAGACGTATTGTTGGTGATTGGATGTGTGTTGGATCGATTGGGTAGCTTTTCATAAACAAAAGAACATTAAGACTTGTTTAAAATGATTTAAGACCCATTTCAGTAAATTTAAGACTTCAAGGCCTAAAAATAGCTTCATTACCAAATCAGCTCATCAAAATGATTTCAGAAGAATTTAACTGACACAGACTGAAAACAACAAATTAAATTAAAATATATACTAGATTTAACCAAATAGTCTACGACTGTCTATGAATCTTGCCTATAGTGAATAACAGGTTTGTTAATTGTTTGGCAATAAAAATTATGAAGGGCAAAGTTAGCAATTACAACATTTATTGAGCTTAATCTGGCTGTAAAAGAAGCTTATGTCATTTTTCTCACATGAAAAAACCTGGAGTAGACAGTGGTCTAGTCAAGTTCAGATAATGGGAATGCTCTTATGATCAATACATGATCTCTATCAAAATCAATCGACTTTTGAAATAAACTTTGACAATGCATGAAGTTGTCAGAATACTGCCATATCAAATGCACAATACAATCAAAGCTTAAGATGATCTTTAGTATTATAGATGACAACCACTCAGTAAAGTCTGCACCAGAATTAGGGTTCACGACAGTTGGTTGTCAATTCATGTCATCTTCTTTAATAACTTGACCCTAATGAATTTTGCCAGAACATAGTAAACAAATGCCAGAACAAATGGGATCATTTATACATTATTATTATTATTATTATTTTAAAACATGTTACGAGCATGAGCAAATCTACGAATGGTTTGTGCATTTTCAAAATACCTTTCAAATGCATTTTTAAAAATGAATGTCAGCTTTTCTGTGGGATCGAAAAGTGCACTGCATTAATGCAATTGTCAGACTCTTGTAAAAAGTGAGAGATGGAATATCCACTCGGAAAGTGCTATCATATTCCATGGCTCTCTGCTCAGACAGCCAACCAATATGGTAAAGAGGTAATGAACAACATATAGAATGTCATGTGACCTCCTGAAAGCTTGGAATAGAAGTAGAGTGATTTAGTGAGTACACAGTATACTCACTTATCATATTTAGCTGCCTACGACATGTAAAATTCATAATTTGTTTCGCCTCAGTGAGCCACTGCAAGTACCCCAATCACACAAAGTAAATAATAGTCTACAAGGCTTTGTATTGACATTACACAAAGATGAGGGTTTGGAATCTGTAGAAGTGCAATGGTAAGCACATATCAATCATGCTGAACGAGCGATAAGGGATTTGGATTTTTTTTTTTAAATAAAAAAATTCAATTTATCATAAAAGCAACAGCTGCTCAGGCAGCCTCAGGCCACATCATGAAGCTGTACATTGTGTGTATTTATAAACTGGACAATTGTTTTTATCTCTGCATGGATACCAAACACACTCACAATCGAGCCACTTTTATTGGTTGTAAATTATTTAATTTCTATTATTAATCATGCAAAGTGTCAACTATAAATGGATACCATGCATGCCAGTTCATTTTATAACAGTAGCCGTCCTGACAATGTAGATTGAGAGGTAAATATTTTTCTACTCAATAACTTAAGTCGTCCAACTTAAGCTTTAGTTACCGTGAACAATCCAAACCCCTGGCCAACACAGTCTATCTACCTACACGACCCTTACACAACAACTGGCAAAAAAAAAAAAGCTTTTGATGAAAAATCTTAAACAAAACATCCAATTTGTGTAAATCAAAATATCACACACAGCTTTTTTGGGACAGTGCATACCTATCCATTAAATTTCAGAATGTTACTAAAACCATCAAAACATTTCTTACCATAGGATTGGCTGAAAAAAAATGCAACAAGTAGGAAGTTACATTTAAATAAATAAATAAATAAATAAATAAATAAAGTTTATTCATATTTATTATCTGCATTCTTAATATTTATTTAAGTTAGAAATGTAAAAATTGTTCATACTGATAAAGAGTACAGAGGTCTTTCTAAAGTAACAATGCATGTTAAAATGTAACTCTGAATGTCTGTGACCCCATGAAATGGCATGAAACTTTAAACCAGTGACTTTATGAAAATGTGTGTGTACATATCTAGCAAAAGTACTTAAGTTTTAGTCACACATGGGCAACCTCCACTTTGCTACTCAACCACCTGGAATGACAACACCTGCCCAGAAAGTTTACATCTGATTTGCATATAGTTGACTAAGAAAGAGTGCCCTCTGAGAGATTTGACAGCGAGAGGTTAATTTTACATAGGTGCATGAAGACAAAATACTGAACACTGTGTATAATGATAGGTACAGGTAAAAATAGACAAATAATGTGGATGCTGTATTGCAGCACAGAAAAAAACAACAACAACTTTGTAATACTCTTTAAGACTTTTCCAGTTAAAAACCATTAAGACATGATCATTTAGCTTCCTAAGAAGCACCACTGCATAAGATCCTGAACCTATTATTCAAAGAATAATTATTACAAATGTGTTTCGTCAGATTACACTGGCAGTTTCCCACTATTTTTAAGTACAAGACATTTTGAAAATTATTATAAATCAGTAAAAATTTGCAGTAAAATTTATTTCAGTGGTCCTATTTAGATATTCTGTTGAAAACCTTTACAACTACTGTAACTAGCACTTAGAGTTTTAGTTTTTACACACATTAATTTAAAAAAAGCCTATTAAAATATTTGCAAAAATACTGACCATCTAAATCAAACGTATAGCCAATAAATCTCTTTATGTTATGTGTTTTACTTAAAAACACAAATGTAACCATTAGAAACATAATTTAAATTGGCTTTAATTTACAACAGAATGGTTCTGGATTGATACTAAGGTTGTGAATAGTTAGTGATGGATGGATGTAGATGGATGGATGTAGATGGATGGATGGATGGATAAGGATAGATAGATAGATAGATAGATAGATAGATAGATAGATAGATAGATAGATAGATAGATAGATAGATAGATAGATAGATAGATAGATAGATAGATAGATAGATAGATAGATAGATAGATATTCAGTTGAACGACACATAGTGACAATATTTTCACCATCAACTTACCTCATGACCTTGGATGGCCTGGATGTCTGGGCTTGACAAATACCAACTTGTATTTACACATAGTTCTATTTCGCTTTCTAGATTGGTTTGTGAAGTGCAGCATCTCAATCATGTCAGCAGATATTTTGCATAGTTTGTCCAAGAGAACATTAAGATGAATAATTGCACCTGCATCTGTTCAATTTTTGATTTATTGAAAGCTATGGTTTTGTGTTTGCACTAACAAATTAAGTGTGCATGCATATTTGTGGTGAATATCTAAAAATAAAATGCAAAAAAAAAAACTTAGGCATTTACAATATTCGTGAATGCTGAAAAAGATGCTTGAGTACTAGCAATTCCATTAAATGCAAGAAACCAAACAGATGCCATTGTAACTACTGCACCATCTCACATTTGATTGTTTGCACCAACTGATTAAGACAAATTGTCTAGATCACTTTGGAAGTGAAATTCTTACAATCTGCATGTTCTGAGTTTGTTTATTGTACATTGACTTGGGTAATTTAGGAGACAAAGCAGATGGCTCATTTAACCTCAGAGCAGCATATGAAAATGAGGGCATGACTGACTTTGGCTAGGTGTCACATCAAAAAGGATGGATGCATGGGGAAAATCACTTAATTTGTATAGTGATTTTCTTAATATCCCAAAAACTTTACATGTGCAAAGGAAGCACCTAAATCTCCGCCTACATGAATAAATTATTCTGTTGATCAGCCAGTGTGTATCAGTGGGCTTACCGCACATCAGCTACTCAAGTGACGACAAAGAGGAAGGGTGGTGGGTCAAGGAAATAAGCCAGCTTCCAGAACTGAGATTAAGAGGCCTGGCTTGAGGAGCTGAAAGAGAAAAGTAATCACAAGACGTCATTTGTGGTATTAAGGTTAGTTTAGTGTGCATGGTCTCAATGCTGAGCACATAATGTTAAATAAGGAAAGAAAACTACATTTGAATGTTTTCAAGGGCCATTCATTATGCAAGTTAATGACCTGGGCATGCAAAGAATCTAAGGTAGTTATGATGAGAGGCTCATTACTCTCAGTTGCATTTTAGGTTTGCTTAGCAAAATGGAAAAGAAACCGCCAACCTTTATAAACTCAAGATTTAAACTGAGTTTGAAGTTTATATTCACTGTAAAACCCAACAGTCAACTTTATCAAATGAAATGAGTGTAGTTAACTCAAAATTTACTGAATATTAAATCTGCTCATTTGAAAAGAGTTTTGAACTCAGTGTTGAAGGTAATCAGTTAATTAAATACCAATTATTCAACTTAAATGGAGCAAGCTCACAGTACTCATATAGATTAGTTTAACTCAAATGATTTGTAGCAATTAGTTTCCTCAAACGGTTTGAGTTGCCTTAAGTTTTTGGGTTTTACAGTATTCAGTTGTTTTGAGTTCTCTTCATTGATTAGCTTTTACTGTTCTCAAACTGCTTCATTTACTTAAATGGATTAAGTTCCCAGTACTCATTAGGATTATTATTATTTTTTTTACTCTAAGGGTTTCATGCAATTGGTTCCCTCAATTTTTATTTTTTTTTTTTGGGGGGGGGGGGGGGGGGGTGTACCTTAGAGTGTACCTTAACCATATGAATTAAATAGCACAGCAATGCTCTTAAATATCACTCAAACCGTTAGATGATCGAATTTAGAGCCACTACACACTTTTGCTCAGTGTCATTTGTCCTTCACTTGTGTTGTGAAGTGATTTCAGGAACAATCTTCATAGTCCAAACTTCAGACGCATTGAACTCGTGGCATGTAAAGACGCCATTTCCATCAAGCTAAGCCATATTCGACAGTTTAAAAAAAATAAACTACTGATAATAAACATAAGACTGAGTTTCAGTATTTTTATTGTATTTTTGTCAAGAGACGTTTGATTTTTTTATTTTATTTTTTTGTCCTGTAATGTCGCATGTTATTCGATGCATTGAATAACAATTATTGTGAAGCAATGTCATGTCAAACACGACATTGGCCTCATGGCTATCTATCAGACATCTAATAAAAAATTTGCAAAGTAAAAACACGAATTATTTAATCTCCAGCTTCTCGCATTTTTTTCTGTTTCGATACTCGTAGCTGTTGTGGCATAAATCGAACCGCGAGGGTGCACAGCAACATTTTATTCTTTACATCACAAGTAAAACTCTCATGATGACATTATTCCAAAAGTGTTTACTATCGACGTTTTAATATATTAAATGACAGATTTTACAACGTGTGATTTAAAATAAATAAAATGTTTGCCAATTCATTAGTTATTAATTAGCTATTTTATTTATATCGCCTACATTTTAAATGGTTTAGTTCCCGTCTCATATATATTTCTGAAATAATTTTGTTTTTCGTCACAATTCATGTCTCGTTTTCAGGAAAGGTTCGTTATGGTTGCATATCAACTCACAGACATACTCGTCTGGGTGACATACATTTGTCAACTTTAATTTCTAAAATTAGTATAGGCGAAATTTGTTTACGTCTGTCAAAGAGACATAGAAACTTACATGATGTTAATCACCCGATTGTTATAAATGAACAAAATGCACCCAAGTAAAAAAAAAATGTATTGCAATAACGAGACTAGTGTACAAAACATAGCAGCAAACCAATGTATATATACGCTTCCAAAAAAATAAAACAAACATAAACTCAAGGGTGTAAGAAACACCTACAACAACACTGATAAAAGTACTAAAATTAATTTGGAATCTTTTGCTTGCCAATTCAACAATCAGTTGGCACGTGAGTCGGCAGATAACAAATCACTGTGGGCGTTATATTGTTGCCCTTTCTTGTACCTCCATGTACTAATGAACAAATATATTCTAAGTTCTACAGCCCCCCTATATTGAGCGTGGGATTTATATGAAGAGGACGTCTTGCTCAGCATTGTCATCTTAATTAATTATTAGCTTCTCTCTTTCTCTGCTGTCCACCGACGCTTGTCAAGCCAGCTATGATGAAGACAAACTCGTTAGTCTGAAGTATATATAACTGTACCTTACTAGTAGTACTACCTTACTAGCTCTTCATTGAGCACGAGAAAAAAAAATCGGTATAATTCCAGGCAGAAAAAAAGCAAAACAGGTTTCCATAGGCAGCGATAGAGAAATGAACTTTGTTGGTGTTTCTTTCTTGCTCGTTTGGACTCAACAGAAGGCTCGCTGTCGAGATAATTTAGTTTTGTTAACAGATCAGTTCAGTGATTCAATTAGACGGGTCCGAAGCCAACCAGGACCGTTCTCTGAACCACGGCGTCACTTCCAATTCGAGTGTTAAACAGATTTCCTTCCTAAACACACATAATGAACTCTACGTTCGGCCGGTCTTATAGGTAAACGCGAACATTACTCCTATTAAAGAGGACAATCTAGCTCACACAGGCCTATGCTCCAGTCCATTACGGTAGGAAGATAGCACATTCGTAATTAAACTGGTGCGATTAAAATTAGAAACTAATGGCAGGTTAAAAGATGCAAGGGGATGAAGAAAAATCTCAATGCAAAAGTCTGAAGCGCTCTTTCTTTATTTCTTTTTCTCTCATTCGGAGAGCCTTTCACGCAGGGTTTGACATATTCTAGCTGTTATCAGATTGATGGGCTGGTTTGATTGAAGTGGCTTTGTCATGCAAATGTCAAGCGCGTGATGGATGGTCGCCGTGCGCTGACAAACTTCTGGAGGTCCCCTCACCATTGGCGCCGTGACGTCTCACGTGACCAGCAGCTGAGGTAAAGATGTGTTATAGGGAAGCACGAGCAAATACTCCAGAGGTAAGCATTTCCCCCCTTCCGCATGACATACTATTGCGAGCTTACAGGACAGGAGGCTTTCTCGATTTCTCAGGTTGTCCCTCCGCCATTAATTGCGTATGGACAGTTCCAGAATGAACTCTTTCTTGGAGTACACAATTTGTAACCGTGGGACGAACGCCTACTCGCCCAAGGCTGGATACCACCACTTGGACCAGGCGTTCCCGGGCCCTTTCCACACTGGACACGCTAGTGACAGCTATAACGCTGATGGACGACTTTACGTAGGGGGGAGCAATCAGCCACCAACAGCAGCAGCACAACATCAGCACCAGAACGGCATCTACGCGCATCACCAGCACCAAAATCAAACTGGCATGGGCCTTACCTATGGTGGAACTGGGACAACAAGTTATGGGACACAGGCCTGCGCCAACTCGGACTATGCTCAACACCAGTATTTTATCAACCCTGAGCAGGATGGGATGTATTATCACTCATCAGGTTTTTCAACATCAAATGCCAGTCCACACTATGGCTCTATGGCCGGTGCGTACTGCGGGGCACAGGGAGCCGTTCCAGCCGCACCTTATCAGCATCATGGATGCGAAGGCCAGGATCACCAGCGAGCATATTCACAAGGCACCTACGCTGACTTATCGGCCTCTCAAGGAACGGAGAAGGACACGGATCAGCCGCCACCTGGGAAGACATTCGATTGGATGAAAGTCAAAAGGAATCCCCCCAAAACAGGTGGATTGATTTGCCTGTAGTGACAAAATAGCTATGCCATGTACACAAAAAATTACAGAAATTATGCCATATACATATCTAGATCAGATTTACATCACCAAACAACAACACATTACACAAAAATCAGAAACATTTCACCTCTAAAGACAGATAAGTAAAAAAGGGGCCTTCGCAAGTTCACTCTAGTTTCAACCCGTCTCCCCATGCGCTAATGCATTGAACAGACATGCTTTCGTTCGCCCTAGGAAATGCACCAGCTCTGTTATCTTTAGCTTGTCGCCGGTTCTTGCCGTGCAACATTCGTTTTTGTTGGCCTCCATTGTGTTCTTAAGCTTTCGTCTCCTGTCCCAATAGTGACTCGGAACGATTTAGTGCACCAACTTTTACGCATGGGGTTCACCATTTTGACATACTGTACAAATTGAGTGGTCATAAAGCCATCTTTGGGGAGTATTGAATAGCATGTGTTCAACATAACCCGTTATGTTCTTTCAAAATTGATAACATACAAACAGGGGAATTACGCTAAGGTTAACAAAAGTTCGCAATATTGAATTACTTGTTGAATGTTCTTTAATGCTACTGAAAGTGTCACATGTAATTATTGTTAAAACAATTATTAACAACACATTTAATTGTGTTTGGTGTGTTAACCCAATAAAGTATTATTTAACTGTTTTATGTTTAACATTGTCAAACAGCCATGTAACTGTTCCTTCTCTTTTTTTTTTCTCGCAGGTAAAGTGGCTGAGTACGGACTAGGGCCGCAAAACACTATTCGGACAAATTTCACAACCAAACAACTGACAGAGCTCGAAAAAGAATTTCACTTCAGCAAGTATCTGACGCGAGCGCGGCGTGTGGAGATTGCTGCCACACTTGAGCTCAACGAGACGCAGGTTAAGATTTGGTTTCAAAACCGCCGAATGAAACAGAAGAAGCGAGAGAAGGAGGGACTCGCGCCTGCTTCCTCCACTTCGTCTAAAGACCTCGAGGATCAATCTGATCACTCAACTTCAACATCTCCAGAAGCCTCTCCAAGTCCGGATTCCTAACCGAGCACAATAACTTTGGGTGCACTGATCAAATGTGAAATATATAGCAAAGTCTATTAATTTAACCATTCCACTGTGGCCCAAAAGACTTGTTCTGTTGGGACAATTAATTGCAGGGAAAAACAACGACAGGCGAAAAAATGTGAAGAGCAAAAAGACTTTCTTTAACAATACAATGTAAAATTCCCAACACTTGCCTAAATTGTTTGTGTGTTATACAGGGTATTTCTGCTGTGATTACAAATATAATGCACTTTCAGAATGTTTACGAGTCTCTGAGGGAACATAAATGTCTTTACAGGGTTTTGTGTTGTCAAAATATTCATTGATGTTTTGTTGCGTTTTTTATGTATAGTTTTGATTTATGTAAACATTTCATAGCCTTTATTTGAATTTTGTGGATTGTTAGCTAAAACTTTTGGACTCCTTGCACTATGAGTTTACAGGGTAGGCCTTTATTGAGCGCTAGCACAATTTCTTAAATACGTGAACGATTCCTTCAGTGTACACGGTGGCGTTTAAATATTCGTACATTTATAACGAGAAAGGAAAGAAATCAGGCGAGGTTCAGAACAAAATTCTAGAATTTGTGAAATGCGCATATAGGGAATGTTCAATTCTCCTGGGGAAAAGACAATGCAGGCTGTTTAAAATACAATTTTCTTTGTTAAAACGTTTACAGAATTTGATATTTTAGCCTAGTACTTTATATGCGCAGACGAGCTGAGTTTTATTAGTTATTGTCTGTATGAGTCCGTGATCGAAATGCCTCAATCAGATGTTTGTCATTTCTTTATCTACCTCAAATAAAACGTTATTTTACTCAAACAGTGTTTGCCAACAGACTACAAATTTGTGTGTGTAAGTAAAATATATAAAATTGTTAAAGCATCGAGTAAATGTTGACATGGCTTTCATAGCTCTTCTCTTCACTTGTAGGGTGAGAAAGGGACCACCAGTCAATAGTGTTGTATGATCTGAGCACGGAACGGAATGTTGTTGAGCAATCAGGGTGACTCAAGATGACCTTTTTACCTCGGTGCGCTTCTGAGATATCCAAACATACAAACAGACTCTCTCACTGAGTGGTTTTGGGTGGCACAAATAACACACATCCTGAGCAAATTAAAAGACATGCTTTTGAGAAACGAAACAGAACTGTGGGCTGTGCATGTGACTTATTGGGTGTTTTTATGGATGAGCTTCTTACTTACTCGCTAAACACATTAAACACTTTTAAAACCATAAATCTTTAGAATGTTCGTTTGAATGATTAAAAACGAGTTCTGAACAACAAATAAAGCATTGAAAAATATCGACACTTCACATTTGCTTTTTCAAATGTGTAATTGCATTTGTAATTGCCAGAGACATATTAAATAAAGTCGCTGCAAAAATTGCGTAGAGTTAAAGTTGTGCCACGACAGACAGGTTTGGTTCTCTGTTACGGTGTAAGTGTTTACTTTTGAGGAAAACAATGCTGTGGTGCAGTGGCATTTACACACACCAGCTCCCTGGGTGGCTCTGCTACTAAAACGCATTTATCTCACAAGGCCAGTGTTCTGTGGCAAGACAAACAGCACATATTGTAACAAACAGATCTCCGAAGCAGACTGAATGTGCAACAGCGATAAAGAAATAGTCCACATGAGTTCAAACATATTCATATAACTTTTGTTTCATATACAAGTAAATAATTAAATAGTTTACCCTGCGTAAGCTACCTACTATTCTTAATAACAAGGACGATTTATGAAGTATTATAGTAAGAAAATGTCATTTACTACATTTAATATAAAAAGTATATAATAAGGTAATTTTCTCTAAAACACACATGCAAATAATATAAACTTTTAAAACAATTTGACAATATATTGACATTAAAGAAATAGAGAATACAGCAATTGTTCTATGATTCTATCTCTCGACCATCTGCTGTTGCAAATTTAAGTCACGCTATTTAAAGCATTTGTCCTGTAGCCCCCAGAACGGCCTTTGATCCATCCGCTACCCCCCGCGGTTAAACTCTCTAGTCTATTGAAACGTAGTGATTGTTACAGTAGGGTATATATATATGTGTGTGTGTATATATATATATACACACACACACAGTTATATACAGTTGAAGTAAGAATTATTAGCCCCATTCGATTTTTTTCTTATTTTTAAAATATTTTCCAAATTATGTTTAACAGAGCAAGTACATTTTCACACTATGTCTGATAATATTTTTTTCTTCTGAAGAAAATCTTATTTGTTTTATTTCGGCTAGAACAAAAGCAGTTTTAAATTTTTTATGAACCATTTTAGGGACAAAATTATTAGCCCGTTTTAGCTATATATTTTTCTCGATAATCTACAGAACAAACCACTGTTTTACAATAACTTGCCTAATTCCCCTAACCTGCCTAGTTAACTTAATTAACCTAGTTAAGCCTTTAAATGTCACTTTAAGCTGTATAGAAGTGTCTAGAATATATCTACTAGAAAATATCTAGTAAAATATTATTTACAGACATCATGGTAAAGATACAATAAAGCGGTTGTTAGAAATAAGCTATTCAAATTATTATGTTTAGAAATGTGCTGAATTTTTTTCTCTCTCGGTTAAACAGAAATTAGGGAAAAATAAACAAGCGTTCTAATAATTTAGGGGGGCTAATAATTCTGACTTCAACACACACACACACACACACACACACACACACACACACACACACACACACACACACACACACACACACACACACACACACACACACATTATATTCTGTCAAATATCTTTAGAAATAGAAAGATAAAAATATATATAAACTACACATTTTTAACAATTTATGTTTTTGATTTTGTTTATCTTGATTTTTCCTCTTTTTAAATTTTTTTTATTTTGTCTAATATACAAGTTTTTAATATACAAGTGACCAAATATTTGTCAAGCTTTTTGTTATTTTAGCTCCAGATTTGTCTTCAGTAGTCTACTGACTATTCTAAAGTAAATTTAAAAACATATTATTGTAAAGCATTACATAGATACATAGAAAATATGAATTTATAATAATATTCTGTGAGGAGGGTGCTCATGTGCTGATACAGCTGACGTCAGCATTATTAGCCATCCTCTTAAACTTGATTTCGCTTACATGTCTCCCCAATTTCTCTTTAACGGAGAGAAGTTTTCAACACATCACTAAATACAACAGTTTTAAAAATATTCCTAAAAATCGATTTCTTTAATCTTCGACAGGATGACTATTCAATTTTACTAGATATTTTTCAAGACAGTTTTCAGATTAAAGTGCAATGTAAAGACTTAGCCAGGTTAACTTGGCAAGTCAAAGTGTAACAATAGTTTGTAGAGGTATGCTTATTTATGCTAATAAAATTGACCAAATGGTTAATAAAACCTGCTTTTCTGTATATTTATAGAGAGACAGGGAGGGAAAACTCAAATATATTATTAATGACATAGTATATTTAATGCTGTTCGCTTATAGTTTAAAAATTTACTTTGACTTGAGACTACACTTTGGCCTATGGGTTCACTTTATGCATTGTAATAAGCAATCCTATATTATTCTCGATTTTTCTTTCTTTTTTTTTTTTTTAACAAAATCATGGATTATCTCCTCTATTAACTTTCGTACTGTATAATTTATAAAACGGAATGAAAATAGTAATGGGCATCACATTTAAGCATCACATCTGCTTTCTATCTGTGACTTCTACTCACTTTCGTTCAAACTAGGCTTCAGATTTAGAAACTCCCAGTTCTCTTTTGTGCCACCTCAAAACACATGCGGAGCAAAGCAGGTGAGCAAGAGAGGGCAAACTCCGGTGAAAGAGTTGAGGGAATGGACTCTGTGCTGGAGGGTGCTGACAAGTGCTGAAGAGAAATAGTTGGAGGGGGGTCGGAAAGGTTTGGGGGGTCGTTTTTCTAACATTTGAGGAAACGAGTTTGCCTAACTTTTCCCCCCTTGTTCACTCTCTAGTGGCCTCACCTCTTCCCCAAAGTTTACGCGGTCTTGACAGTTCCATTTCATCCACGACCCTCTGACGGACTACCCCAATATTTGCTCAGGCGGACAGGTTTGCCCTGAGCTCTGCCTCAAACATCCCCTGACTGCTTCTCCCCTGGCCTCGGTTCACACAGAGTTCAGGCCGAATTAATACTCGAAATAGGCAGGTCAGCCTGTCAGGAGCTGCGGACGGGCTTCCATCTCGCCGGGGTCACGCGCAGGTCTTTTCCTTCAGCTTGAGCCGCGAGCACCGTTCTGGGGATTCACTTCGTCTTTCTTGATTTTTTTTAGCAGTTCACCCGTATCTTCCCTCTCCCCGGTCAGCATCTTTGACTCACCATCTTTCCATAATACTGTACTGTACTGTATCCTTTATTATTATTATTATTATTATTATCATCATCATCATCATCATCATCATCATCATCATCATATTTAGAAACGACTATACGCTATGTGAGGAGTTTAGAATTTTAGCCTACGGGGTCAAATTTAATCTTTAGTTCATAGACATTGTTTCTTGTTCGTTAATTACAAAAGAAATGTAAGATATTTTAAAATGTATAAATGCGGGTATCGAAAAGTCTTCTATGCTATTGTGAGTGGTCCTAAAATGTATTTCGACGTTAACTTATACTTAGTGAATTACTTAGGCTACAGTGCCAGTGTAAATGAAAAAAAAAAATCTATAAAAACTACACATTTCGCACAGACATACGTCTATTGAAACATCACCAGCTTTAAGGTGAACCTTAATTTGAGATATATGATTTCATATATGGTCAGTTTTCTTTTATGCAACAATGTAATCATATGTAATAATGGTTTCATTGTGTTATCGTTAATTTATTATTTTGACCAAAAAACACACTTAGCCTGATTTAATGAACAACTTTAATAGTTGATAGCTATTACTATAATAACTTGACTGATATGGTTGCGTAAAGGTAATTCATCTCGTCACTGAACTCTGCACTAAGTTTCATGACTGTTTGCACTATAGTAGAAAAGATGAAAAAAAGACCAACTTAAAAAAAAAATCTTTTTTTAAACAATCCATCAAAACTGAA